CCTGCTCAGTCAGGGAACTTGGTACCAATAATGGACTGGTCGTGACTGTATTTAAATCCCCTCTATGGATAGAAGCCATGCACAGAATCACACAGAGTGGTGTTATATTCTCTCCACTTTGTCAGAGATGGAGTCCAGAAATCAAGAGGAGTTAATCCTTGCTTCCCTCCAGCCACACCTAAAGCTGGGATCTCAGCCAAGCAGTGTTTATCAGAAGGGCTCCTGTTGTCTCAGGAAGCAGTGAAAAGAGGAGGAGCAAGGGTACAGAGACTCCTTTTCACCCTCCTTTGCTTCCTGGATGTATCTAGTCAGTAGTTGGGTGGGATTGATTCCCTCCTTGCTATGCAATGGAAGGAGTTAAAATGGCCCTTTATTTGCATGTTGCACTGAATACCTTGATTCTAATTAACAGAATGGTTTAATTAATGCTAAGCAGAATGATCATGGATTTGTTCTCTACGGGGATTGGCAGTGGAGACTAGAAATTCCTGAACAGGTAACCCCCCACCCACCACTACCCAGCACCCATATTCCAGGGCTTGTTTATAATTTCTCAGGCTGCACCTTACTGGGTCATCATTCTTTTAAATAAGTGTCTAAATTTTAAGGAGACAATGACAGCTACAGTATAAATAGAGTTTGCCATTCAAAGGGATGGTTTGCCCCTCTAGTACTTCCAGTATATTGGGCATTTTTTGCATACCCCTTAGAGACGGGAAGCAACATCTTAGTGGTTTAGAGCAAACTTAGGAAAATGAATACACTAGGCAAACTGAGTTTTCAGCTGAAGAAGGAATGTGTACAATGTCATCCTTCCCTGGTGTGGTAAGACCTTCACATTATTCAAAGAAAGAAACACTTGCTACTGGAGGTTTTAAGTGACTGGATTAGAGAAGTGTTAATTAACCATCATTACAGGCTTATGTTTGTATCAGCTATATAAGTGAGTCTGATAAGTTTATAAAATCATATGCATAATTCTGCCTTTGTTTTGAAGGAGAAACTTTTTTCTAGTATTTCAGGCATTTTTCACTTTATGGGCACTGGCATTTTAATACAGAACAATAAAATCAAAAGTTTTCCAAATACATGCAATCAAGAAGCAAGTCACTTAATTGTGGTTTGAAGTCCTCTTCTACATTCCACTGCAAAAGGACACATCCTTTTGCCTGAATTGAACTGGCAGTGTATTTGTGCTGATGTTTCTTTTTTCTTTGGTTTAACCTGCAGCTTCCATTATGTTTCTGCTTGTTTTTTTTCTTAATATGTTGCAAGAGATTATTCTTAAATGTACTCGTCCTTGGCTAACAGAGTAGTGTGGAGCATGTTATGATGATTATGTTCAATTAGGGTTAAAGTGCTGAACAATACATTTTTGGCACTGTTTAAAGTGTGAACAACTTGAATTAGACAAGAAACTATGCATTTCAGGCATTCTGGCATTCACTAAAATAGTTTAAGCTTTGGTGGTGGTCTTAAATAAAGTGGAATGCAACTGTGGAATTTGTGACCAGCTCTGGAGCATGGTGGTGTGAATTTCTTCCTTTATAGGAGAGTTCTTCATTCCACGTATTAAAATGTTGGGATATCTCACTGAAAGTGAAGTTACGCTGATTAGTTACACTACAGAAGCTAAAGTATGTCCATCGGCTTGAATCACGTCTTTAATAGTAATAATAATGGCTATCTTTGCTCATGTAGCATTTCACTTAAAGTGTATCCTAATCCTCACAATTGACATCATAGCAGATGACTGGTTTTCTTTTATTATTTTGAAATAAACAATATTCAGATTGTCTATTTAAAAGTTACTACCCCCCATCCAGTTGGAAGCATTTCACCTCTTTCCTTAATCATGTCACCTCTCCTGCTTTGAAAGTATTTATTTTTGTCTGACTAGAACTAGGAAGGTAAATTCTTGAACTTTCTTTGCAATGTGCTGTTACACAGTAAGGTCCCTATTATTGATTAAGCCCAGATGGTCTGCTCACACAGCAAACACATATTTTGCAAACCTTTATTATGCCTCATTAGAATTCACTCCTTTAGAAGATTTCTAATTATATTGTCTAATAAAACTAAACCTTAGAAGCTATTTGCATATTATATGAAGAAATCTCATACAACAAACTCACAGTGGATTCAATTAACATAATAGCTAATTATATATCCCATCAGCCTTTAGAGTTGCTCTGCATTCATGTTTCTCCTGTTTTAGCCTAGAGCAAAGGAGGTTTGAATTTTCACTTCTAAATATTGACTTTTAACTAATATAAAAATGGTTTGAACACTTTTGTGGATGAAAAGATAGTGATTAAAATACATGAAACATTTTAAAGGAGTTGTTAAAAAATTCTCTGTAACAAGATTCCAGTAAAACGTGAAGCCACACATTTGATCAGGTCTGGCACACTTTATATCTTGAAAATATGACCAAACATGGACAATGGTATTTGATTGACAGTTTGGCCTTTTTTTTAAATGCCTATATGTTACAGTTATATTTTCTTATATCTCATCACCTACCATAATGCAATTGTATTCCTGGCTTGTTGTGGTATCTATCAAACAAGGAATTTATGACTAGATTAACAGAGACATAGTAATGAACAGGCATGTGAACATCCTGTAATTGGCTGTTATTAAGGTGTTGTCATATTGGTCTGTAATGAATTCTCTTTTTGTATTTTAAAATTGGCCAACATATGCTGGGGAAAAAACCCAAAAACAAAGAGAGAAATGTACTTGAACTTTCAGAAAATATGGATCCCTTTTTAAATATTTCAAATGGTGTGAATAATCAATAGATTTTGAATGCTTCACTGAAAAAAAAATTTTAGAATGATCAGAGTTTGTGATTTATCTTCTAAAAGAAAATAAATCATTCATTTGGTCATCAATATGCACATCATAGGTAATGGAAAATCCACTGGGTATCATATTTATATTTTTACAAAAGATAGCAGATAAAGTTTAGTTCAGGGTAAATGGTTTTCTCCATTACAATGATGGCTGCTTTTTCATTCATATTTTAATGAGGTTAGTATCTCTGAGACAGCTTTTTCGGGGTGGAGGCCCATGTCTCCGGTACAATTACAATAGGAGTTGCTTTATTGACAAGTACTATTCAAAATCTTCACAGTATAGAAAGAAAGGCTTTAGTTTTCCACCACTTGTCTAAATACTTATTGCTCTTTTACTATTAAAACACTTTTAAAAAGAGCACTTTTAACATTTGGGAAACCACATGTTTAAAATATTTTTTGTTTAAATTTTGAAGTTCTATTAAAAGTTTCTTCTAACAAAGTACGCTCTGTAAAAGACCAGAAAAATGCTGATTATATAGATATCTCATGTGTGTAAAAACCAAATCAACTATAGTATAGTTAATAGGGAGTGTGAATTTGATCTTGAACAAGCTAATAGTTAAATGAAAGATAAAGTTATTTAGAGGTCACATTTCAGGTATAATTTTTTTTTAATTGAAAAAAATTAAAGACAGTAGTTTTGAAGCAAGTGTCTCACAGCTATAATTTAATTGATCTTCTTTCTGTATATGCTGTCTCTAAAATTTTTTAAATAAAATATAAGGAGGGAACATACCATTATCTAAAGAATGGTTAAAAATGCAAAAAAATCCAACATGGCACCTATATATGCTTCCTTTTGTGAATACAGCTAAATACATGATACACTGTATATAAATCAACATGTAGGTATGAACGGGTGGGGAAAATGTGTGAGAAAATACTTGTGTATTAATATAAAAGTAAATGCATATGGCAAAACTCCTTTCATAGAACTGTAGTTACATGCATTGGGAAGTTTGATTTTTTTTTCCCAAAGGAATATTTTAGAAATATTTCCTAATGTGTAGGTGGTTGGTTTTCAGCATATCATAGTACCCTAATTGTTGTTTGTACGGAAAGTTTCACACAGTTCACTCTGTGTTCTTATATTGCCACTCATGTGATGTATACCCTTGCTAAGCCACTCTTAGCTTTTCTGATTGGACAGAATACTATCGGGAGGAGGTGGGGGATGGGGGAGAGCAAGTTAGTATGTGACTGAATATTTGAATAACAGTTGGACTATAAACAGAGAAATCTTTTCCAGAAGTTAAAATATACAGCCTTGCTTGTATTAAGAAAACACTATAGAACTTTTTTCTCTCTGTAAAGAAATGTATTTATTATACCCATTAAAAATCCCCCTATGAGTAAGCTGGCTTGTTTTATTGTCATGTAAGTAGGTTTAGAAGAGGGTATGTGTGTGTATTGGGTGGTGTGAATTATATACTATAGCTTATTGCTATTGCAAGCTCATAGGGTCAAATACATCCCTTACGTAACTCCACTGAACTTAACAGAAGTTATGCCGGGGATGAGTTTGATGTATTATGTCAAATCCTTGTCCTTGGTACTGGGATTAATCCTTTTTTTAATCTGTAACCTCAGATATCAAATACTTTTTTTGCATATTAGGGCACTTGGAGGGAAGTAGTCAGACCATATATAGGTGCCATGTTGGATTTTTTGCATTATCAAAAACACTTGTTTTTAAAAGTGAATAATGTGCGACTGAAAAGAATAATTTTCCAAGCAAAATGCAGTTTATCTAAAGCCATTCTTACTGTAAAATAGGCTGCTCAATTCTACAAACATACATTTTTGACTAAACATTTAAGTCTTCTCCCCTCCCAAATATGCATTGTTTGACTCATGCCCTTTTTTGCTTTTCCCAGGTTTCATAAAAAGTAGATTCCACATCTAGAATGAAGTTGGGGGAGGGAAGGATTTCATAATAGGGCCTAGTTTAAGAAGGCAAAAAAAAAACCTCTAGGCTTTAATTTTAATTCTCCTGCCTTTATTTATCTGATTTGTGGCCAGATGGTGGTGAAGCAAGAAAACCCTTTGTGTAAATGAAGCACACATGTGAAAGTGCTTCTGTAATGTAATCATTGAGACCGGAAGGGTTCATACTGTGTCTGAAAAGAGACAATGGAGACTGGATATATCAACATAGCAGAAATCGAGTTCATTTGTGATTCAGTCCCTTTGACTATGGTTGTCATGAAAACTTCCTACTTTGATCAGCAGAGGGTGGAGAGAAAAATCTTCTAAAGGCCTAAGGATGCAGCACTGTTGTTTACTGTGCACTTGGCTTCAGTTCACGCCCCCTTCCGGAAGAAGCAACAGGGATAGGAGCATCTTGCACCTTGACCTGTCTAGACGGGAGAGAAGTTTTTTGTCCCGGTTACCAAGGGCGAGGGGTGCTCTTTGACCCCTGGAGCACTAGCTGTTGAGACTCTCACTAAGTATGTAGGTAGTGTCTAAATGTTTCTGCTGAATTCTTGCTTAATTCTGAAGGAAAGGGAATGGACAAAGACATGGACCAGCTGTTCGAAAATAAAGCTGAAATAGTAGAACCTGGGAGAAGTTAAATTTTGTAAGCTATTATTTTCTTCACAAAACCCCTGGGAGGTATTAAACAGCTGCATCTGAGTTGACGAACAGCAACTAAGACAGACCAACTGAAAGCAAGACTTTCTACAACTCTGCTTCAACTAAAGAAACTAAGTGACTCAAGCAAGAAATCCTGCATGCTTATGTCGAAAGAATATCAACTGTAGTCTGTTTATCTGCTGCGTGTTGTATGTCTTTTTTGAATGGCAATATGTTTGCAAATTAAAATATGGTAACTGCATTCTAGAATTGCTTCAGCATAAAAGGGATGTTTTATGGGAGCTTTAAATGTTTAATTTTTCAAAGTGTCACCTTAGCTTTAGCTGACATTTTTAATTATGTATGTAATAGAATATTTGGCAACAATTATGCAGATTAAGAAACGTGCACTTGTTCTTTTTCTCTTTCTGTCTGCGATATGTCTGTCTAACACAATCTCTTAAAGGTGTTTTTGGTAATATTTATAATAAGAAAAAAAATCCATTTTTCCCCTAATAGGTTCCTTTAGCAAAGTCAGAGACCTTCTCAACAGAGTTGTTCGAAAATATATGTGATAGAATGAATGGTAACCAACTGCAAGTGGATCCTCAAGCCCAGAAAAGGACATTCAAGAGATTTGCTCCTAGGAAAGATGAGAAAAATCTATGCAGATTTTTTAAAAATCTATTTTTATTCTGATGCTTACAAACCTTTGAAGTTTGCGGTAAGCCAACATAACACATTGGTAACTATTTATTTTTATCTGTTAAAATGTTATTAGTATATGATAAAAGACTTCAAGTACTATAGTTGGGAATATAACACATTATTTTAATAATATTAATATATGCTAATGTGCTCTGTATTGGCTTGTGCATCAACTTAAGTGTTTTGAAACGTAATAATGCAGTTTGTATTGTGTGTTAATGTTATTTAGAGCTCTATCTGGATCTGCTGAGTGTTTCATAAATATGAATAAAACATTTCGAGATGACACTTTAGTTGCAAAAGTTAACCATGGACTATGCTGTATGCTTCTGTTTACATGCTACAAATTTCCCAGACTAGAACAGTTCTAACTATGTTTTATTTGGGGAATTTTTATAAGTGATTAAATATATCTGAGTGTTTTCTGTGCAGGAAATAAGTGAATTGTGGGGTTGGGTAAAAACCCAAATTAATACTAATGTAGTTTCAGATATTTATAGCCAGATTGTGGAAGATGGTGTCATCTTTTTCCTTAGGCCTTGTTGAGTAGAGAGATTTCTCTGAGCTAACTCAAGAACACTAACAGAGCTGAGTTAAAAATGCTGAAGTGTGGTAGCTGGCTTAATGCCATTTTTTTCTTCATAAATATGTTTTGTGTATGCATTAAACATCTTCCTAACTTCAGGAAACACACAGTATAGAAAGGGGTGCGTAAGACAACGAACTGGATAGTGGTTTGCTAGATCTGATTTTACATACAGTTCAATATTCAGCTTACCACAAAAGCAGTATCATGAGACTAGCAAACCCATGAAATAAAGCCATGTGTACATGAAGTGGCTTTAATTTTCACAAAAAGTAAAGAAAATAGCTCAGACTTAGAGTAACTGAGCACTGCCAAATGTTGACATAAAGCAGTTTAATGTTACCATTGACGTGGCATATTCTAATTTTTTGAGAAAAATAAAATATATATTGTTGTTGTGGATTTTATAACTTCCATATTTAAATCAGATTTTTCCTTAGTGCATTTTTTTAAATTGCAATCCAGTTCATGGGATTTCTCCTAATTGTTTAGTAATTAACCTGTAGTCTGATTTTTTGGGGAGAATACGTCCTTCCTAATCTGCGCTCAAGATTCCCCAAAGATATTGTAGTTAATGCAGTACTTCAGTGCACAACCTTTCTTTAGGTACAGTCCACCAGCACTGTGCCTCACCAGCAACACTGAATCATGTTCAAGATGTCAAAAATCCATTTTGTATCATTAAAGTGAATTACCAATAGCTTTTAAAATGCTGAGTATATAATTTGGTATATAACTGTCAATTGTGGTGTCTTTTGCAAAACCAAAGATGCATTAGTTTGGTGACAGAGCTTCATTTATTTGCACATTGTAAAAACTAATGTAATAACACAAAATAGAGGGTTAGTTGATGGACATTTCAAGCAACAATTCCATGACACTAGTACCTTCTGTTGAAAGCTGTTCTTTCCAAAGCGAGTAAAATATGATCTTTAAGTGATTTCTTACCCTGGGAATGTATTTTTGAAAAGACAGCCAGGCTGGCCTTGAGTTAAACCTTAATATCTTGCATTGGCAATTCTCTGAAAAATTACACTCATCATTTTGTTGTATAAAACAGGAAGTGCAAATGAAAACAAGGTGGTTCTTTCGACTGTATTGCTACAGTTTGGGGTTAGCAGTCTTGTTTATTTTTAACAGCAGTAGAAAGGCACAGTATATATTTTTCTTTTTTTTTATTTTTCTAGTGCGAAAGTATCAAAGAAGAGTATGAAGATGAAATATTCTCACTTATCGCCCAGGAGGCAGACTATCTAGCTGACAAGCTGAGCAGTGAAAAATCAGGTACTGTGTCTGATGTAACATGTGCTCTCTCTACAGCATTTTTTTCAAACCTAGTGTACTGCTTTGGTGCAACAAACCACTTTGGAGGAGAAGCGTTCAGTAGCTGAGTAAGCAATGGCATTGCACAACTTTTCAAAAAACTGGTTCTTGTAAAAGCTTTTAATGTCTGTTTTTAATTTTTTCACACATTTTAACGTAACATAATTGTAGTGCTCCTTATCCAGTGCAGTGTTTTCCTCCTAATGGAATGTGCTCAGCGCTTTTTTTACTCTGTGTTTGCTTTGCCATCCTGTAGCAAGGAATGGAAATAACCCTTCTGCAATACAATGCAAAAGTTTTTTGGACTTCAGTACTTAGTTCTAGCCTGCAAAGAAAAGTAGGAGCAATAAATATATAGCTTAAAAACACTGGGCCATAAGATCTAGCTAGGACTCTTTACTGACGTCAGTGAGGAGTTCTGCTTAAAACTGCAGGAACACTATAGTCTATTAGAAAAGAAAATGTATTTAAATACATTTACTTTCTCATACAAACTGTATTGCTCTCAAATTGACTGTTTTTTAAAAACTTTGATCAGTGGCAAAAGAAAATCCTGTATAAATGCAATTTGATTCTTTTTTTATTTAAAATATTAATACCTTTTATATACATTGGATTCTTTTCCAATGTGATTTTATTTTCTAGAACCATTTTTAAAACCAAGAAGCCCATCATCTAATGTGCTTAGCACTGTAGGATTATAAATAAAGTTGGACCATCCCTTTTGGAAGTGCTCTCCTTAGTGATAGAATATGCATGAAAATATTGATCTTAGAATCAATACTTATAATATTGGTATGTGCTTTTGGAGGCTTAAACTTTTTATTATTTGCACTGTAATAAACACATACAGAAAACTACTAACATTGGTAGAACTCGGCTTGTTAGAAGTTTATAGAAATGAGTATCTATCTATCTATCTATCTATCTATCTATCTATGTTTGCTTGTGTCAGAATATCCTGTAACATCTGCAAAAAAGTACAGTCTAGCAGACTGGCAATCTATTCTACAGGCTTAAGTTTTCTTTGTCAGCTATGCAGAAAGTTTTGATTTTCTTTTATAGCTTTAGATGTAGTTACTGAGCTAAATTTGATCTTATTAATATTGTAGAGACTAGCATGAATAATTCTCAAAACACTAGTACTTCTCCAAAATGCATGGTATTATTTTTTAGGTTGTAGTTTTTAAAGAAAAAGTTCTCTGACCATTCATAGATGAAAAGTAAAGATATGTATAGGATAATGTAGAAAAATAATCATCAGCTGAATCCATTTTTCTCATAAACAAATTAGGAGTTGGGTAGGTTTCTTCACCTCATTGGCTATTGCCATAATTCCCTGGAACCCTGTTGTAAAACAGTCTGCTGTTTTTAGCCCGTTTGATAATACTGTAAAAATACTAGTCAAAGTTATGCTAAAATTTATGCTGAATCCCAAGCTATTGAAAACACTTTCCTGAATACGACACTCTAAAAAGGTCACTTTTGTTTTTTAAAGTATTTTATTGAGTTTAGCCTTTCTTATTTACCCCTATTTTGGATGCATTCCTTCAAACATTGTCACTTCAATAATTTACAGCAGAAAAGATTTTTATATTTGTGTCCCAGTCTTACTCACATGAGTATCCCCACTGAAGTAGGTAAGACTGCTTATGTGTAGGGGGTGAACAGGGCTGGGTCCTGCCTACCTGAAGAAATATAAAAAATGCTTTGCAAAAGAGAAAAACTTTAGTATTCTTTCCTCTAACCAGGAATTAATACAGATGAATACGGTGTCATTTAATAAAGAAAACAATGTAAATGTTTGTAGTTTCAGACTCGAGAACCTACAATAATAATAGTCACACTAAAAAAACCCTAGTATCTAGTGAAGAAATGCAGTTATATAAATTAATCTACCATTCTATACATCATCTCACTTTACGAGTAACAAAATAATAGTGTGAAAGATAAACATAATATAAGATAAATAACTTAAAAAACCCCACTCTGCTCAATTTTAACAACTAAATATAACAATCTGTAGTAGGGAATAAAAAGAGATGTAGTAAACTGCAATGAAAAATTTAGAGGAAAAAGTCTCCCTAATTAATATAGCATGGATAATACTGGGATATCTGAGTGGCAGGAAAAATGTCTGCTTGGATTTTTCCATGGAATTTGGCATCAAACTCTGTGGTAATGGAAACTGTGATTTGCTGAAATTGTGTGAAGATACGTGCAGGGATTGTGGACTTATACGTATCTTACAGAAGAATACAGCTCTTAAACTTTAAAGCCATACTATCAATTCTTATCCATCTTAACATTGTAAAATGTCATTACTATGGTAAACTAAAGCAATACTATAGACTTATCATCCCACTGTCACCTATTGGCTCTTTATTCATAGTTGTACATATGAATTCAAAATACCATATAATACTTCTGTCAAAATTACCATATTAACTGGCCCAAATGACCATATATAAAGACTTGCCATGGGACAATTTCTGATTTTAGTGCTAACAATTTCATCTTAAAGTAAAATTAAAATAGTTATTGGTTTTGTTCACTTAATTTAATTCTGTTTCACAAAGAAAAATATATGAATTTGACTTATGCTTGTGACCTGTGACAAACTTTCTAGTATTGTTTTGAGCAAATAGGTCCCTTTTGTAGTATACTGAAGTAAAATATTAAAGGGTTTCATATCCTTTCTGTGAAGAAAGATGACACTAATGGGAGTCCCATGCACATTTTAAAGAGAAGCTCTACCCACAAGACATGTTTAGTTCTTTCCTTAAATTGCAGCATTCCTTCAGACTGTACATGTGCGTTTATAATAGTCATGTTTCTTGTTTGATTAAAAGACTGGGAAACTTCAGTGAAGTTTTTTTAAAATGATCAAACTGATACTTCCAAGGACTGATTGGTTTACTGTCATGTATTCTTTGATCACGTAGACAGTCTCTTTATTTAACCGGGAGTCCTAAACTGCTGATTTACGCCTTTGTATCTGCAGTTTTTTACCTGCCAAAAATCTAGGAGTTATATCTCAAACATGCTACTATCTTTTTGGCTTTAAATAAGGAATTCAAATTTCTAGTTTGACCAATGAAAGCATAAAGTGTTGGTTTAAGTCTAGATACATCTAGATGCTGGATAAAAGTTTTCATTTTTTAATTCTGGGCTTTTTGTTTTACAAAGATATAATTGTGGAACACTGACATGTCACTGGTTTCTCAGTCATATTCTTTATATGGAGTTATGATAGAAATTCATTTAGACCAATAAGACGGGAGAAACCAGCCAGCAAAGGATTATATTAATGTATAGACTAGTGCCAGTTGATTTGTCACTGGAAAACAATACAATATTGTATCTTTTGCTAACATTGAAAGCTATAATTAAAGTAACACTGAGACTCCTATTACTCTTTACATGCTCATAACTCTGAAAAATTATTCTTTTGGCTAAAATATCCCCATCTTGGTCTCGTCCCAAAGGTGACTTGAGTCATACAGTTACTTATTTGCTTATTTTGAAAGTTTGAGCTTAGGCTAGTTGCCAATTTTTTTTGTTATGCAAGACTGAAAAAATGCCTTCTACTGTAAATAGACATATAAGCCTTTTTTCTGCACATGTCTAACACACACAGCTATGTTTTGCAAGTTGATACTTTCCAGGTGGCTAGTCCCCACCAAGGACTGCTCTCCAGGATCATTTACTAAAACTAAAAGATATAACAGTCATAAGCAACTAACTACATGTTTTCTATATGTGCAGCATGTTACATTTCCAACAAGTTTAATATATATGATACCATCTACAAGATTATGGGATAAAAGAAAGACGTCAGGTAGGTTGTATGTGGTCTACATGTCCAGTCTACTGTAGAGCTCTATCATTTCATCCGTCTTTCACTCTGTAGATGCGGAGGTACAGCGTAAACCCAGAGATTAGCGCAGTCAGCCCCTCTCCTGTAATGGGCTGTGTTGGTTCACAATTTGGTGAGACTTTAGAGGGATGGAAGGGTCCATGCCTCCAAATGTCTTGACAGAATTAGGGCCACGACCCCCTTCTTTTAAAAAAATCAGTTTAGTAAAGAAAACCTTATTTTGAATGTAACGTTCAAGTTACAGTTAAAAACTGAAGTCGGGCAACAGCATTGTCAAATATCACACTACCCGGAATTTACCAAATTGCATATATGGAATATTTTGCATTACTGGTAATATTCCAGAATGTACCTTTAATGGGCCCCGTTCTACCATGTGAGATCCACGTGTGACTCCAACTGTGTCAGTAAGAACGAGGAGTATCTGAGGAAAAGACTGGAATCTGTTTGTGCAAGTGCGCTTGTCACTGGCCATGTCCTGACTTCAGAGGGTTTTAATATGTATTTTTGTGTAAACTCTATGTGTGACTTTTTGTGATGGATAATAATTAAATAATCTGCATTGAATAGCTCTTAATGGGATAATGATTCAATTAAAAAGAGCCCTTAGATAATTTTGTAGAGTTTTAAATGTTTTACCAGGATGTCACATCACACCTTACTGCACAAATCTTATTCATTCATATTATTTAAGGGGGGGATGTAGTCCCTAAACTGCTTTAGCTAAACAAATCTGAATTTAAGATTCAAAGATGAGAAGTGTTATGGTACGTTATGCTATTTTTTTAAAGGTCTGGTTGTTCTGTTGAATACATAATCAGCATCCAGGAAAAAAGACCATCTAGGTATCCAAGCATTATGCTTCAACACTTGCCACTGGTTATTTGGGAAGAAAGTATTTTAAGATACTAAGTAATTTTAATCCTGGAAGCTTCAGTGGTGGAGGTGTTCCGCAAAAAACTTAGCTATTCTTCTAATTAGTAAATTATACCTTTACTTTAAAATGTATATACATTTAACAACATGTACCCATGCAAATCATTAGTAATGATCTACATTTTTTCCCTTAGGTCTTTGGGAAGAGCCTGCTACTTACATTGAGCTATAGAACGGATAAACTACTTAGATTACAGAGTAAAGTAAGATGACAATCACAAACATTCTTCCTGTGTAATCAAATATTGATGTTCTGTCTTTCTTGCCCCTGTAAAGCCTTCTATTTTTTTTATCATTGTTACATTTTTAAATGTTCATGGGCTCCTTATTACTTTGGATGGTTTACTTTTTAAATATTTAAGCTAAGGTCTGCATGGTTTTGTAAGGACCCTCGGTTTAACAGGGAATTCATATTCACTCTTGTGTCTATAGGTAACATTTATGATATCCCAAGATAATCATATCATTTGTGCTGATTTTCACAAATTCAAAGTCTGGTTGTAAAAGAATTTACTCTTTGGCTGTTAAGAATTCCTGCTTAACAGAAGCAATTTTAGTAAACTCATTAGTGCTACTGTGCTTCTCTCCGTTGTTTTAACAAATGGTTGATCCCTATGTATTTTTGACTACTTTCAAAATAGTTTAGAGTATTTGCTAGCCTTCTTTTCCCCCTATTGATGAAAGTGGAAAACGTCCAAACATTTATTCTTTTATAAATGATATAACTTAATGAAGTTTGTATAGTTTCTTTGAAACACCTTTCCCATAAAATTTCCACACACATTTTGGAACTTATGCGCAACAAAATGTTGAATAGAGAAATATTTTATCATGTATCAGAGCACTGCTGAACCATGCTGTAAATGTTCATGAAGTCTGCAATCAACGGTTATAACAAAACAGCATCTTAAATAGCAATAATAGCGCAATGACTTTCTTTAATAGAAAATATTAATGGAGAAATACCAAAGTGTCCATCCCATACTTTACATGGGTAAGGTATATCTGGTCATTTGCTTTTAGGGCAAACTATTTATTTAATAGCAGAAAGTTTTTCTCAGTAGTTTATAATTTTTTTTCATAAAGAGTAGCTATTAAATATATTAGTAATCTAGCTATCAATAATGTTCACTTTCTAGAAAAAGTCTGCTAAAAGGAGTTTGTCTGGGATTATTAAATATACATAGGTGTATTTTGCACTCGTTCTTTGTGCAGAACACACATAGATATAACTAGAGTTGTGTGGAGTATGCTGCATAGCATGAAATATAAGAATTTTGGCTGCGTCTCAGTATTGTGAAAGACTTATATTACTTAGTTGGAATTGGTACGTAATCAGGATAGCTCATCCAAAACATTATAAAAATTCAGTAAAATGTTTAGAGGAAAAAACAAGATTGTTTTAATCTAAAAAGAGTTCTTAAAAATTTGTTGCAAATTGACTGACCTATGAATATATAAAGAGACATTCAGTATTATGCATAATGACTAAAACGTATCTGGGTATGTATGAACAAATGTCTCCTAAAATTATTTATAAATGTTTTAATTTAGAAAATCAAGTACTTACGCCATGGCGCAGAATTCTTAGCTGATGTAAATTGTCGGAGCGTCACTAAAGCCAACATAGCAATGCCAGTTTTCCTCTGCTGGACATCTGACCCTGCAAGTTTATTTCACAGGGTTTTGTTGTAGGGTCCTTAATATTTGTAGAAGTTGTTTTGTTGTTTCTCTAATGTGGAATATTTTTTGAAATCTCCTTTTGCCAATTCAGTATTATAGAACAGTTTAGAATATGTTACAATTTGAAAGTAGTAAAGCAATTGTACTAGGTAGAATGGAAAATATCTTCCATAGTGAAAGAACATTTTCCTCGGTTTTCAGTAACATACCTGAACTATAAACATGCATATTAATATTAATATTCCATGTAGAACAAAGACATGGTACATTAATTTTAAAAATATTTTAAAAACTTTAAACTACATATGTATTTCATTAGTCAATGAAAGTGCAAAACTGATCAGCTTTTACTAAGCTGAGGACTTCAGTAATGATCTGAATAAAACGGGTTGCTTTCCAAATGCTTTGACTATGAAGTATGAACAGATGAGTTTCCTGTTGGCTTTACTTAGATACATATAGCAAGAAAAAGTCTCCTTATCTTTGTTTGAATGTGAAAGCAAATTGAAAATATCAGATTCCTCTCTTGCTTTCATGTTGCCCAATTTTGTTGATTTGCGTAGAATTTAGTCCAAAGTTTATAATGTTTTTAGTCTATGAATATGTTACAATAAAAGGACACAGTCAACTTGAAATCTAGTCAATTAAGAAAACAGACAAAGTTGGATTCAATTAATACAACTGACTGATCCTGGCATTGTTATAGGGTATCATATCACAATTTCTTTATCTTATTTTGTATTTATTTTTTAAAAATGTATTTTCTCTCCCCTGTTACCATAGGAAGGATTTGTAACCTCATCAGAGAAAAGTAACCAGCTTCCAGGAAAGCAAGGCATCTGTGTACAAACAAAATGCTCTCAAACACCCAAAGTAAACACCCAGGTGGATAGAAAGAAGAATATATCCTTCAACCCTTTTTCATTTCTAGTAATCTTTTGTGTTATCTGTAGCAGTAGTCAGTAAATATTTTCAGACAGATATGTTTTTTTAAGTGCCCCTTTAAAATATTGATACTGTCTTATACTTTGCTGGATAAGCTCTGGGAATCTTTCATGACAACTGCTCTGTACAGGATATGAATGAAATTCTGACTACCTGTCTGCTGGTTTCTGTGCATCCAGGGTTATGTGCTGTCCTCAATCCATGTGTACAGCCGCTGAGGTCAGTGCTATTTCTGCTGAAGTTCGAATGCAATGCCAGAATATGGGCCTTCAATATTAAACTGTTATCATGAGAATATCTCTACATATGTGCGCAGTCCTTTTTTTGGATTTCAAAGTGCAGACAATATTGGAAGATTATCATATTTATTCCTGATCGTATTGGTGATTAAACATGGACCAAATTCACTACTGCATCAAAGCAGTTTTATGTCAGTGTTACTGCAATGACGCAGTGTTAGACCACACCTGAGACTCAGTGTAGCCACCCTGGAAAAGATGGTAAAGCAAATGATCATTTTAGTACCATAATGTCCTTAAAAATCTTTGAGCTTCTCTGTAACACACACTAATTTATTGTTCACTGAGAAATGTCAAATCTAATAAAGCTGCATCCTTTCTAAATTATAAATGTTATTTTTTATAAATTAGCAGACTATAAAGTCATCTGGGCCGTACTTGAGCCCATCAGTATAGGCTCAAGCAGTTATATATATGCTTACTATGATAGCTGAGCATCAACTGAAATATTACCTCTTAGTTACCAATAAAAGGTAATTCACTGTAATTACTATATATAGAAAGTTTAGCTTCCATTTCTGATAGCCTTTTGCTTTTCAAACGCATGGGTCTTCCAAAACTCAGGGAAAAAAGAAAAAGAAAAATATTTTGACCTTGTGCCAGTCTTCTCTCGTGCTGCCATAATGAAGTCCAGGGGCTGCAAAGGTGTAAGGGAAGGTACAATTTACCTGCTGCTCATTTCACCAAAAACATGAAGATGGTTTGTAAGACTCCAAGGTCAGGTGCTTAGCTGGTAGCAGCAGAGCTAATTCTGTTGATTTGGGATGGAGCAGTGTCCGCTTGAACCAAACGGCGATGATGCCACTGCTGAAATTAAGTTCTTGCTTTTCTTAGTTTGTTTTGTTTTGGTTCGGGTGGGTTTTTCCCCCTATTCTGTCAAGTCTACGAGGCAAAGAACAAATTTGCTGTGACAGATTTTATTTTTAATGTGGATTAGTAGGAATGAGCTGAGGCCACTAAATTCATTTCACTTAGGAATGAAAAGTGGAATTGAATCAAGGTCCCAAATGGGAAAGATCAATACTTTATTTACTAAGATAAGCCCTAAAAATAAGATTGTTCAATAACTAGTCATATTTTCTATTCATATTTGTTTCCATGGTCTGACATTTGCTCACACATGTGATAGCTTCATCAAAATACAGTTTTTGGAAAATGCATATTAGTCAGCAGTATTTTGTATTGTATTGACATAAGAAGCTGGTATGTCAAAATATCACGAGCTAAGTATTAACTTGTGTGTTATTTCTAATATACATTAATTTTTCCATAAATCCAAATATATGAAATATTAATAGCACTTATGTAGTAAACTGTATGAAATGCTTTGTAATTATATCATACACATCCATAACACAGCATATTATGTTATGGTAGCTTAAGTAGGTAATTAGTACTAATATTATTCCGTTGATAGATATCTTAAGTTCTGTTAGTCTCTAATAATTACTCTTACATTTATGTGCTGCTGGCAAAGGTAAATCCAGCTATATGTAGGGCAAGATTACTTGAATTACCTCCCTGAGCCAGGTAAGGCAGGCAGCATTCAGAATCATGGCTTTCAGTCAGGCCATGGCAGGGGGAATAGACAAGCATCTCCCAGGAGGTTAGGAGAGTGCAGGAGAGGGGAAATGATCACATTATCTTGATATGGTTCTCTATTGTGGGCGAAGTGTAAATTTAAAAATGGCGTACACCTGATATTGTCTAATCAACCACCTGCTGAGATCATATAAAAGGTAGAGGGGGAGGGGGATTCAGCAAGGAAAGAGCATAGGAGGTAGAAAGTAAATGTAAGATGGAGTAGCTATACTCCAAGGCTTTCATGGGAATCATATATACGTGCAGAAGTATTGTAGCATCTTCTAAGAGTGTTTATTAACAGCAGAACTGTGCTTAATATGATAGAAGTTAATTCGGCACCTTTCTTGAGGAGCATCTCAACAAGGCTCCTTATTAAAAAAGAGAGAGAGACCAATTCACAAAGCTCATTTAAACAGACCAAAACACTTGGAAACATAAGGATGACTTCATGCCTTTAAACATATTTACCGAATTGGCTGGTCTAATGGCATTCAGCAATAAATTCCATTGCCTTCAGGATCTACTGATAAAGAATCTGGTAACCGCCGCTTCTCTCGACTTTGGGGAATGTTAATAAACTGGTACCCAAGGAACCTTAGGTGTGTGCTATGGAATAGAGGGAGCTAAATGTCAGCTAATTAAGCAGAGCTGAGACCATGAAAGATCTTGTGAGTTAGAAGTTAAATATTAATATCAGTTTCAAACTTTATGAGAAGCTGGCTTAGTGGCAGAGGAGCAGAAGGAATATATATCCAGCATGTTCATGACATTTTATATTGCTAGGTAACCTTGCAGCAGCATTCTCGACCAGCTAAAGTTTTCTTAAAGCACATTTTGGAAGAACAGCCAATAAAGAATTATAACAACCCTTGAGGTGACACAGACATTAATGAAGGAAGAAAGAAAAGATTTCAGCGTGACAGTGCTTCTCAAATGGTAAAAATCTTCACTGTCATATTAAATGTGACTTGAAGGAAAGGTGAGAGTTCAGAATGATTCATTTTTGGGCAAGGTATAAATTGTCAGTGTTTTTATTTATCTGGTGCACGTACATGTGCGTGTGTGTGTGAGAGAGGAATTGATCAATTGTATTTTCTGCTAATGAGAAGCTCCATTTTATTGGAATTGAACCCCAGCCAGTTTTGATGTCACATAAGCACTGAAGCAGCACAAAGTTGCCACTGCTCTGATCTTTGGTAAGGGCCAAATAAATCTAAAATAGTGTCAGCTGTTTAGTAGTAAACATCCAATTACAGCAACTATTTATTATAGCCAAGGAGAGGCATGGAGTCTTCAGCGTGACTTACAGGCTCATGAACAGGCTAGCCCCTGCAGAATAAAGGTTAAGCACTGTGCAACATTTTGCATGCAATCACCTTAATATCTCATTTCTGACCAGTACCATCCTTTCCTTGTAGTCCTTATCATCATAATCAGTACTGTCATTATTAATTGTATTACTGTAGCAACTAAAAGCAGGGCCCATTGTGCTTAGTCCTGTACAAATACACAGTAAGACATTATTCCTTTGAAAAAAAACAACCCCTAAAACCAAAATAGCCTGGAAGTATTATTTTCGTATTTCTTCCAGATCAGGAACGCACAGAGAAATTAAGTGACTTGCCTAGGGTCACAAATAGCATCTGTGGCAGAGCCAAGAACTGAAGCCAGGAACCCCAAGTCTTAAGCCAGAGCCTTACCCAGGCAACATCCTTGTGACCCTGAACAAAGACTATGTTCAGACTAATTATTTGGCATGGTCTCTCAAATAAGTATATACATAAACTCAAGAGAAGCACAAGTTCACTGAGACCCAGGAACTCATTGGTTTGTATCTTAACTTGCACTGTCATCTAAACTATATCTTGGTGGTCAGAAAAGTGAGGTTCTCAGTTACATGGGCCTACATTTTTACAGGTTTTTCAGTCATGTTAAGTGAACATCTTATGAAGCTGTGTTAGCTGCCCATATTGCACCTTTGGCTCTCCTCCAGACTACAACACATGACTCCAGGTATGTCTGGATGCCTTTGAATGGGGTATTTCAGTTGGGTCACATTCACTTAACTAGAAAACACTCCATTTTTACCCAGTAAGACAGGGCTTTTTGCTCCTCTGGAAGAAGTCCTTCATAGTCTATGAAATGTATGACTACTGTTAGGATGCATCTGAATATTTTTCCTGACCTGTTCCAATGGGAAAGAGCTGAAAGGATTGGCAAACCAAGGTAATGTTGCTTTCGCAGAAAAGGGCCTGCTCCATATTGTTTTCTGTGGGCAGATTTGTCCTCGGCATGTAGGATACAGATTTTCTCTGCATGTTGTAGTGCCCTTGAGCAGTGCTGCCCTCCATTGGCTCAGTCAATATGGATCCCTGAGGAACAACATCACAGTTATCTTGTTAGGCCCAGACAAAGCATTGCCTAACAAAAGAAATGGAGGATGAGAAAATTTTATGTTTAAATTGACTCGTACAAAGAGAGCACCAGAAAACCATGTATGTATGAGCCTCCAGGTGCTTTCTGCTTACACTGCTAAAGATAGGAGGAGACAGGCTTGTGCTTCATATTATGTGTTGTTTATGAATATAACTTTTAGTATGCATTTCTCCCCCCTATTTCCACCACTGGTACCAAATTTTTGTAATTTGGCAACAGTGCGGCAAGTTGCCCCAGGTTGTATAGGGGAGGCTGGGGCCAGCACTGGACCAACCCTAGCAGCCTTACCTGGGGTCCTGGGGACCTCCCGGAGCTGCAGCTGGCGCCTAACCAGCAGCCACAACACAGCTCTGAGCAGCCTTGCTCCGCTTTTTGGCTGTGCATGCTGCCCAAGCATGCACTACTTTGGGGTTTTTTTCCATGTTTCCTTTTTTTTTTTGACTTCTGGATATCCGGGGCAGCATGCCCTTCCAGCGCAAAGGACTCCGGACATGCCGGAGAACTCCGCTCGTCTGGACGTGCCCTAAGATTTCAAGTGGGAATCCATAAATGCTAAAAACATTCTGCTCTGCTATGGTCTTTCTGAATTATTTGAAACAGAAGAATTGCTCTAGTATTGTTTTGTAGTCAAAAAAAGAATGAAAACTAAGAGCTGGCATTTTCTGCAGGGTGCTTTCAAACTAACCAGGGGTGTCTTAAATCCAAAAAAAGGTTGAGACCACTGTTTTAGTCTATCCAAATATAGCTCAGATCTGTGAGCACTAAGGCCATGCCTACATAGTGGACTTTATAAGGTGCAGATTCTCTGCCTTCTACATGGTGAATTTACCATCCCCAGCAGCAGCACCCTCAAGAAAGC